GATGTATGAAACTCGTCAGCAAGTCATACATTTAATATTGAGTGAAGTGATCTTTCCTGATGGATTCGAACACACATCACCCAGCTTCACAAATTGAGATGTTATCAATGAGTTATTCGGGCCATGACTGTTGTCCTTTAGGGTCGACATATTCACATTTATTGATCACTCAATAATGAACAATGTCATGTTTGTCTAGTTCTTAATGCTAATTGAAATTTATCGATCAGATTGCGATATGATAACTAGCACATCCTACTGATGAGTGCCAACTAGCACGAACTTCATGTTCAGGACGTCCTGTCGATTCGCTTTAACCACCTAACATTTCAACACAGTCTAGCCACATTTCAACTCAATCGATGGAATTTGATCAGCATTAAGGACTGAGCAAACGTGAAGTTGGTCACTGAATATGAGTTGACCGATTGAAAATTAACAATACCAAATGGTATTAGTTAATGAACTATGAAATAATAAACAAACAAACGAAACAGTAATTTTAAATGTTTGATAAACAAAATAAGCAGTTTATTACTTATTCGGGAGTATTTGAGGAGAAATTATTTGGGCGTTGTTAATGTATAATTGTCAGATTACTTTGTCAGTAACTTTTTTGACATTTAATAATCAATATTGGCATATATGACAGTTGTGGAACACTGATAATTGACTGAACTTCAATATGCTAACTATAGAATCCCAAACTCGGTGTCCTAATGGTAACTTATATGTCAAGAATCTCGAATGTCCTTGGTTTGACTGTAAGTGAAGTCTTTGATGCACAATGCTTCGTTTTTTATACTAGGACAGTAAGAATTGTTCAATGTTTCTTGGCTTTAAATGCTTTAAGGAATCTACAAACTAAATGATCTCCAACATTTTAAATTTTAGGAATGTATATTAGTTAAAATGGTTCATTTCAAAGAGTGGAAGGATATCCTCTTTCCAGCATCACAAGTGATACGGAAACGTGATCAATAGAATATTGTGAAAAAGGCGTCTTTTCGATCATAGCAATAAGAAATCAATCTGTCAAACATCTTTTTAAACGTAAGTGTGGTGGAAGGCGAACAACCATGACGGTATTTCCACCCCAAGTATATTAATATTTACCTTTATACATTGAGACTATTAATATCTCATTCAAAACACACTCAAATATTGTTTTACGTTTATACATAGTCTCAGTACTGTGCTTTCTATTAGTCAAAAGTACTAATCGATCGTAGGTTTTTTTCTTGTGATTAATTTTCCGAGACTTAATTTTTAAACTTAGACATAGTAATTGCCGGTGAATTTTAATATTGGTTATTTCTATTCACAAAAATTCTGTGGAAAAAAAATGTAAAAATGATAAGAAGCAAGACAAATTTTGTTGTGAGAAACAAGCAACAATTTACAATTATTTATGAATTAAAGGATGATGTGTGAAGATTTACCTGAAATACATTTAAAAAACTATATATCTATGTTCTGAAAGGAGTTTACGTACAGTACTTTGAATACAAAAAAATGGAAAAACTGAATAAAAGTGCGTCACTTTCTACCAGAAGTTTTATTAACTGTACAGAAAGGATTCAAGGTGGGTCTAACCAGAAAATAGAAGTTGTATGATAGTAGAAACCTAACTGCTAAAAAATCTGAGGTCAAATAACCTAGTTATAACAAAAATTTTATTATATTAATTTATAACCCTTGTTATGCAGTCATAAATTTGTTTTTATCATGGATTGACCTTAACTAGAAAGTACACTGACTACTTACAATTGACTGATTTTGAACGATTTGAGTTAACCACATCAGGATGAGTATAGCAACCCTCCCACAATTAATTTTGTCAAGCCCTTTAATTAACATATTTAACAAACAGTGTTATTCGAATAGTAATGATTTGTCTATTTCTTTGTATTATTATGATCACTATTATGTTTATATAAACGTATATGTTGATCATATATCTCTCTCCGACTTAAATGTTGATAGCCTATACATAGATATGCTTGAATCTTATTAACTGTTTTGCCTTGCTTCGCTTCGCCTTTATTCACTTTGACTCTGAATCCGCCTACGTATTACTTATTTGAGTGCATTGACCTTTATGCTCAAATTCGTTCGTTGTGCTTGTAACTTTGTCATATGTGCTATCCAATAATAAACTGTAGTCACAGCTTTCTATTGCTCTGTGAATTCATACACTGTTGAGATTTATTTAATAACCATTATCAGGGTGATTGATAAACGAAGCCTAAGGAATTATCTCGAAACCAAGCCACTACCAGTGAATTACCTATGACGCTGGGTAAAAATATAGTTATATTGTCTAAAAATCAGACAAACATGTGGACCAAGGAACTCAGAATCACCGCTTAGAGGGCATCATTCTTGTTGTAAGGCTTAAATGTCTTGGCTCATATCCTAGTTTGGTTGTCAGCGTAAGTTATTTTCCATTCCCGAAAGTTGTATGCAACACTTATACAAAGCTTCCATGTTTTTAGTGACTCTCAAACTTATGTTAGGTTATCTGAACTGATAAGTAGGCAAAAAGCACCAATCAATACGAGAAATTTATAACTTGGATGTACATAATAGTTTATGTTAACACTAGTATTAGGGCGGGAATACTACTTTGTTAAATCAATAAACTAGTGTTAAATATTGAAATCAAATGAGAGTTCAATAATATCCGATGTGTAATTGTTACCCAGCAACGGCACTGAACGATGATTGAGCCACCTCGAGTATTAATTGAAGCTATAAGTGTTAATCATTAGATACTGATTCAACTGTCTAAACGTTAATTGTTCGTCGCAATACTTAAATGGTCCTAAGTTTGATTCTCTGCAAAGTCATGTATGCCCACTGCTGGAGAGTCCTATACTAGAAGAAAACAACAGTTCAGTGCTTCTTAATTTTCAGTAATTGTTTGATGGTCAGTTTTTAATGGACACTATCAATTGAAATGAACAGGAAGTACCTCAATAACCTCTCTTCTTTCTCTCTCCATCTATTCAACGCTCAAATAAATCAATTTACTTATTGGGTTAATGCTGTATTTGTACGAACTAATGATTCCTTTGTGCTTGATTGCCCTCTGATTACGAATTCCAAGTATAATGCATTCATTTGTGCTCATTTAGTTCTACCTAACTTAAATGGCACTATTTTAAGAATTCTTAGTTAGTGCATTATTTCAAATACTTCTAATTGTCATAGTTAGTCAAATATTAGGGATCTTACGAATTGATCAATTCACTTCCTTGTATAAGTAATGGAAGTAAAACAAACTGCATTGTAGTATGCTTATAAAAATACTTAGTGTATATTACAACAAAAAAACAGTGAAGGATTAATATTAAATTGAAAATTATATATTTTTCAGTTAACTGTACATAAATAATAATCCAACTGTTTAAATCCACAAAATATGTCATATTGTAGTTACTATTAAAATACTGTCAAGTTTCTTAAAATGTAATGATAAAAGATATGAACAGGAATACTCTACAATAGTATTGAGATGGTTAGTTGTTTTTTTCTATAACTAAGATAAACACCTGGGCATTGAATTTCGTTTGAGTGCTTTTGTTTGTTTGATGATTAATTGATTCAGTTAAACGTTATACACTAACGATAAAAAAAATAATACTGATGCGTGTCATTCCTCAATTGTTCTGTTGTGATCAAATTACTTAATGCAAATCATTTTAATCACACTGAATAATAGTTTGTCATGAACCACTGGGTCAAATGTATCATGATACTTTGTTGGTAAAATTGATGAACATATATTTTTGAGCATAGAATAAAGATAGATTATGAGTTTCCTCCACCATATTGTGGACTAGAAAGCGAACAAAGTAAGTATGTATGTATCCATCACCAGGAGAAAGATTTAGAACTAAGAAGGAACTGTTGTTTGTTTCAAATTAGTGCAAAACACATTTTGAGACGATCGGTAATTAAATGGAGCGATTGTTCACCAATACTTGCATTCTAGGAGTTCTTCATGTGATGTTAGTTGTTGATGTCAAATTTAAATTAAGTAGTGATTTATACATTTAATAAACGGATTACACCCATTGAGACATTACATAAGAAAGATGGGTTCAGCGAAGAGTTATCTTTTCGGAGAATTCATTTTCAAAGCTGTACAACCTTATCATGCTGAGCCATCCTTTCCCAACAATGGTTTCCCTATCTATCATTATGATGAATATTTAAGCCCTTGACAATCAAACTATTATTAATTTCCCGGCTTAAAAAAAGAATTTCGAATATCATTGTTTATTCTACCTTACTGTTACTATGTCTAACAGAAGTTTATTATCATTATTATTATAATCATCATCCTGAAAAATAAGTATATATTTCCGTGTGTACAGCTTTAAAAATGAATTCGCCGAAAAGAGAACTATTCGCTGAACCAATCTTTTTATTTAGTTTTTGATTGAGATCATGAACCGACTGATGTTATACCACCGTTGGAAACCTGGAAGCACTGGACGGCCGTTTCGTCCTATTGTGGGTCTCCTCATACATCTGTTTTATCTATCTTGTTTAATGAAAATCAGAGTTTACGGGCTTATAAAATTTTCTACTCCTCGAATATGGTTGGTATACTAAGATATTTCATTAAGTTGCAAATAAAAGTTCTTGTTTATCAATAACTGCGTTAAATAAACAACAATCTCAGGTCACATAATGCGATTAGGTAAAAAATAATAATTATCACCCTAGTGTTAATTTTCGTCTCTCTCATTTATACCGGGCATATAAAATACATGTGATGCAAGTGATGAGGGCAGACACACCACATTAAAATTTTGTTATCACTACCTCCATAAACGCATTAGACCGAAATGCGACTAACAAACAATAAATATTGCTTTGTGGTTGTTCTGGGTATGAAAATCGATAACTCGGAAGGTCAACACCACTACAAGAGGGGAGAGCAAGAACCGTATACTTGTGTTTAAATAGTAAGATGACTAACCAATATCTCCTAATGATGTGGAAATCATAAACCTCCAATTGAGTTTTGCTCTGGTAGATGTTCACACACCCTAACAATTTGCGTGACTTCGATTTGCTAATGCTTTTAGGCGGCAGAACAATCAAAATAGGGGGTAGACCACATGGCTCATTAACATATATGTTAAAGACCCTCGGCAAACTAGAGATTTACTTGAAAATGAAAATATCACTTCGCCTGTCATTCTGCTGCGTCACTGTTCTCGTGTCCTCCTACTCGCATTAATTTGTTAAAATTAACTGTTAGCTTAAGCATTATTATATTGGATTGATAACTTCTATAATTAACTGAGGATTTCTAATGTCACTTCATCGTTCTTCTAATGGACCTCCACCAGCGAAACCACTTGTTGCATTGCTTGATGGTCGTGACTGCACTATTGAAATGCCCTTGTTAAAAGATGTGGCCACAGTTGCTTTCTGCGATGCTTCATCCACCAGTGAAATTCATGGTAAAGTCCTTGAAGAAGCTGTTGGGGCTTTAATGTGGCATACCATTTCTTTAACGCGCGAGGACCTTCAGAAATTCAAATCACTAAAGATTATCGTGAGGATTGGCAGGTGGGCTTATGTTTATTTGCATATATATGGTTTATCGAAATTCTGAATTCTTGGTTTTGAGATGGTGGAGAAGATTTGTAGCTCACGTGGATGATTTTGATGGAATTTTGTTCTCTGAGCTAGATGGTTTGCTTGTGGAGCTCAAAGAACAAAACTCCACCAAGAATTCTTGGTTCGTTGGTAATATTATTTCTGTATATATGTTACTAATTCTACCTATAAATTAATATTCCTTTTCAGCGGTTATGACAACATTGACATAAAAGCCGCTGGGGAACTTGGGATTGCTGTTTGTAATGTTCCTGGATTTGGTGTTGAGGAGTCTGCAGATACGACACTTTGCCACATTCTGACCTTATATCGACGTACTTATTGGTTAGCAAACAGCCTGCAAATGGGCAAACGGATTAATGGACCTGAGCATTTAAAGGAAGTTGCAAACGGGTCTGCTCGAATACGACGTGATACTCTTGGGATAGTTGGTTTAGGTAAGCCTTTAATGATATTGTTTAAAATGACAAAACTGCTGATTAGTCTATCTATTTGTAGATCTTTAGTCCATTTAAGTACTTAGTTGTTGTATTTGCACTCCGTAGCTCTTTATTAAGATATCAAAGATAGCTGAAACCTGAAATGACTCAGTAACAATTTCAAAGCTTGTTTGAATGATTATGTTCATCGTGCAGTTAAATATATGTACATTTCACCATTTTCTGTATTGCAACATAAAGCCGAAAAAGCTGGAGTCAACTTGTTTTCTAACGTCTAACGAACTTTAGTGCATGAATAGTGTAGAGGAATCATCATGATGAATTCAAATTGAAGTTACTTACTCTTAGTTAATGGTGTGGGACATAGTTTTGACTAAGACTATTGAAATAAGTCTGTTTGTATATGTTGCGTTTTCCAGGTGCATTCTGTTTTCATCCTTCATGTGCTGAGCATTATTATTTTATTATTTTTTGTTTCATGATCGTTAATATTCTTAGTCTAATTAAAAGGATTGTCACATTCAGCTAGTTTTCCCTTGGTTCGATTAAACTTCTTATTGTACCATTGCTTTACTAACCAGTTGTCCTTCGTTTGGTTCTAAATCATATATCTCCAGGTGGCTTTTTCTTATTCTGAAATAAATCACTTGAATGCTGTTGCATGTAATACGTCTGTTACTAATCTTTTTGCTACCTCATCAAACTGGTTTACTGTATCTTGCGTCACACGATTTCAACATCATTCGCTCGGTATTCTCACGATACGTTAGGACTTGAAACTAGCTATAATCGAATACTTGTAATTACCCGGTCGCCTGCATTATCTAGATATGATTTCCTATAGATTCCTAGGAAGATTTTCAAGTGCAAGGTAACCTCGATAAACCGTTAGATATGTCTACTTGGTATGATTTCTCGCTATAGGTTCTGAGATTACTGCAAATCTTGAAGTAATATGTGATGGACATTTTATACTACTTTCATCCACTTAAAATATTTATGAGTTGTGAGTTCGTGGGTTTGCATCTTCAGTGGGTGAGATCGAACATGACGCTAAAGTTTCTAGAGTTTCTTGTTTTAGTTATGGCTTGAAATCGTGGCCCTGTGTTATAGGGATCAGAATCATTTGTAATCAGGCAGATTTATTTATTCTTTGACGTCTGAATTTTGAGTTTTGATGTTATTTTACACTCATCGTTTCTTAATTTCATCTAGTTGTTTTGAACTGCATTCTGTATATATATATATATACTACCGTTTTCTTCGTCTTGTTTTTTCCTCTTCTCGATATGGTGATCCTAAGTGTATATGCTTCTGGGGAAACAAAAACTGGAGTAGGTGGGCCGGGATTCAAAATAATGACTAGGTACTTTTAATCACTAAGCCACTGCTCTTCTCATATACATGTTTGTTTCAGGTTGTAATTTAGCTGACTGTGCTTTTTGGAATTCGTCGTATGAAAATTGATTTAACTCCAAGAAATCTTATTCATAAGGCCTTTTCCTACTCACATAAAAGAATGGTCTTAGCTAGTATATTTGTACACCACAGTATGACTTTTTGATGGATATGATCTATTAAGCAAGAAGCATTTCTAATGTATGCAAATTCTCTGCTTCTATTAAAGCAATAATCCGTTAGTTTGGGAGTTGAACGTAATCCCATTTGACTGGTGTCGTTCGCTGATCGTACCAGATTATAAAAAAGGACAAAAGTCCTTTTGTGATAGTCATCCAGGAACCGATTTGACCAATTTGTTGCCCTCTATAATTACCCGTTCCTTTATCTGGGGCTTGGTAACAGCAAACTTGGGAAAACCAGAGTGGTTTCAAACCTGGAAGTGGGTGTGTTACCAAGTATTCACCCCTTGTCACGTTCTAGAACAGAAGAATACTTTCTGGCTCTTGACAGTAGAAGCATTTCCGAACTTTTAAGCATCATTCAGCTCCGTTTGCAGAGTTTCTTTGACAGTGTTTATCATTGGATGTACCAAAAAAGTACATAAACCTTGTGAGGATTCTTTACTTGAATACTATTTTTTGAGTCAGAGCTTATGAAGAACTCTTGTCGGAACTGCGAATCTCAATTAGTGTTTGTCTGGGTTACTTACTTCACTCAGTCATATCTAGTTTCGTTGATTACACACTTTTAGAGATAACGCTTTCTTCCAACTTTTCAGGAACTAATCACTTGCTAGATGATTCATTCTTCGACTTAGGATACTTAAATAACAGTCCTGTTTGATGAATACACTAATAAAATGATGTCTAGTTGTGTTGCAAAATGTCACTTCGCTACTGGTATGGATCAGCGCTTGAACTACGGATGGTAATCACTTCACTTATCTTGGATGTCTCACTAGTCCTAGTAGGTTGATGGCTAACGAAATCTCGGCACCGACTCAGAAAGGTCAGTTGGTTTTTGGCAGTTTGCATCACTTATGGCGTAGGTGAGATGTCTGTTTGCCAGCTATAGGTTGAGTATACTACGCAATAGTCCTCTCTGTCTTTCCTTTATGGCTTTAAAACATGGACTTCAAAAACAGCGGATATCCATAGGTTATTACTGTTTGGTTATAGGTATCCTCGAGGCATTACTAGTCTTGTTTTAGACCATTAAGTGAGCAGTTTTGAGGTCAAACGCAGAATACTATCCAAAAACTGAATTCGGTTGAAAATATTGTGATTTTTCGTCGACAGAGGCGATTACGATATGTATCGCTTCCTGCCTCAACGCGGGATGTTGATTGGTTTAAGAGGTTGGATGATAAATAGGGGTCACCAAATCAAAGAGTGACATCTGTCCATGACTTAATGTGCGCCATGTTAATATGTACAGCTTACGAGGTTGGCTTTTGTGAGGTTATTATTGCTTGACTTTGGATGACATGGTGCAGAGTCAGTCATAGTGAGACAGATACGTTTACTCTTTGTTTTTTCCTAGGTCCTAAGTCTCAAGACTTTTATATATTATAAATCCCAAATCCATTTTTCTTAAGTCAACTATTTCTCTGTATTTTTAATCTGCTACTACATTGCAATTCATCTTGATAATTTCATCTCTGGGTTGACGTGGTGTGGCAACTTGAACTCGAACATTACCTGTCAAGCTTATGACGAACTGATTTCGCAACCTCAAGTGGTGTTCGGCAAGGCTGTTTACTATCTTCATTTTTGTTCAATTTCATCATACACCTACTTCTGGGAACAACTTTCTCGTTGACTGAATTTTCGGGGATTGATCTCCTACCAGAAGGCACACTTATTGACTTGGAATACGCATATGATATAGTCCTGTTTAGTGAAGACGCTGATAAAATGCAGTTTTTTGGTAACACTGATCAACAATACCAGGATGTTTGGGATGTGTCTCTCCCCCTCTATATGCAAATTGTTGCTTCAGGACTGGCCTACATAAAAACTTCAACTAATGATAGAGAGTGAAGTGCATCGACAACTTCACTTATTCTGGAAATCTGATCAGTTCTAATGAGTTGGTGCCTGACGACATCTCAACACGGATTCTAAAAGCTCGTTTGACTTTTGCCAACTTACGACACCTATAGCGAAATCGAGATATCCGTCTATCAATTAAGGGACGAGTATACTACGCGGCAGGTCGTTTTGTTTTACTTTACGGCTGCAAAACATGGCCATTAAGAGTTGAAGATACTCGTAAGCTACTAGTATTTGACCACAGATGCCTTAGAAATATTGCTCTCATCTGCTGGGATCACCGGGTAAGTAATAGCGGGGTTAGACGCATGGTATCAGGGAATGATGGTAAATCAGTTGGTGAGGTTGTGAATGTTCATCGACTGAGATTGTTGGGCCATGTGTTGCGTATGCCTGAACACCGATTACCACGACGCGCAATGCTGACTAGTGCTCGAGACGGTTGGAAGAAAGTTAGGGTGGTCAAACCAGAACGGGGCATCAGTCCATGAAGTCACTAACTTCTAGTCTGAGCCATGTTGGTAGATGCAGACTAATTGGTTGCGGTCCGCTTGACTATCGTAACCAGTGGTTGGAGACTGGGTGACATGGCTCGGAATCGACCACAGCGGCATATAAGTATACACTCTTTGTCTTCTCTCAAACCGTGATATTAAAATTACTTTATACCTTTCTTTCTACGAACTAATTCTTTCTCCTAGCATCATATCTTTGTATGCAATCTTTCTTTTATATATTACTACCATTGAAGTAACTGCTTCTATGAATTTGATGTTCATCTTGTGCTAATGAGGTATGGCAACTTTGACCGACGTGTATATGCGCCTGGTCCTATGTTGTAGCTGACTGACTGAACTTGAACCAATGGACATTGTACTAGGTTATCCTTGGGTTGTGGCTAACTGCCTAATTTTTTGGTTTTCGATAGTTTTCGTTCTGAAACCAACCGATAATGTAAACTATCTTGAAACTGAACAATCTTTAAAATTTTCCTATACTATTTTCAACTGTATTTGCCTCGATACACGCTTGTTTCAGACATGGAAGTTCTACTTGTTCGGTGTAACAGATAAATCGAAACGTCACACATTTTCCGATAAACCAAATACCTTATTGTGTTCGTAAAATACTTGGAGGCTCCAAATGTGTTTTGTGAAGAGACCAACTCAACAATAAATACGTTGTAGCTGACTGACTGATATAAAAACCATGCTTATCCGGGTTCAACTGATCGTAGTGTAGTTGGCTTGTCGCTAGGGTTATCAGTCAAGTCCAATATTTTTGCATAAGGTTTCTGAGATTCAATTACACTTAAATCTCTGGATTTACTATGGTTTGAATAGGAAATCACTTACATTTAACCCTCATAAATTCAGAGTAGATTAGTATCTAGATATTCACCTGAACTGTGAGGTAGATTCAGTCATTTAGATATTCAGTATGGAAATTTAATCAATCTAGCATCAGAATAAGCGGTACATTAGTTCGGTTTGCTTGTCAAGACTAAATCTTATTTACTTTTGAAGATTTTTCAAGGAAAAATCTAGTAAAGCGCTGTTTTCTTTGCTCTAAACTCGTGGCTTCATGCTAGTAATATTAAGGAAATAAACATTTATTTAGACTTAGTTGAATATTAAAATACCTGAACTTTTGCAACAGCTTGATTAATCTTGGAAGTGTCTTGGCTGGAGTTATAGTTATTATCACAAAGAATTACTCAGCTTCGTCGATAATCATACTAACCATTGACCTCATAAAGTACGTTATTTTTGGTAGACAAAGGGAGATAGCATGAATAACTAGTCACAAAAATGCTTTTTGGCTTAATATTTCACCGTCTTGTGGAGGAACTTTCCTGACGAATGACTTGATACGGAATAATTTAATAATACTGTTACCAAATATTTGAACACCTAACACTGAAAACGATTTATTTTATTTTATTTGAACATAAATATTGGTACAAAGGGGTACCGAATACATATGCGCCTTACAAGTCACTTGATTTGTGTGTGGGCTGTGATACTACCCGGGTGACCAAACCGAAGCAGGGGCTGAAAACGAGAGTCATATGTTTGATTACAGATAATGGTAGACGAATATGGTACCTAGAGGATGAGAAAGGCATCCCACGTGTTGCGTACCTGGAAATTGTAAGGATGCTTAGCTGAACGTTTTCAGCTAAAAGTGTCCGTTGGCATTAGCAAGGTCAGGAAAATTATCGATCGTCTGTTAAGCTGAATTCTATGTGATAGGGTCGTGAGACCAGTTTTATGTTCCTAGCTAGAAGTTAATCGTTAGTTAACATTTCTATTAGCCCAGCATTCGTGTATCTACTTTTATAATAGAGTGCCATATGGTGAATATAGATAATCAATAACTGAGTACAATTTTACTCTCCAATTGTCTTTATCCTCATTTCATGTCGTACTGGGAAAAAATATTTATGAAGATTCCGAAATTCAATATTTAGTAGAATCCCTATTTCGTCATTCTTAGATTTTTTGGAGCTAGTCGGTGTGGTTTTGAGAATACAGGTTGCCTTGTCGAGATAAGGTGTACTTCATTACTGATTATACATAGTAATTTTATTATTGCTTGAGTAAGTTCGGGGTATTTGTTGAGTATTGATTGAAAGTACGAATGCACTATTTACGTGAATGTGACTGAATGTAAGCTACAGCTGGATGATTTTGGGCTGCCAATCTTATTTTGTATTATACCGCTTAATACATGGTTATCACAGCTATACCTAGGCAGATCAAATAAATCTAATTGAAAACAAGCACATGGATGGACAAATCAATTGTGTTGTGTGCATTTACTTATCAAACGTCTGTTAGATGTCTTTTCCTACTCTTTCTCATAAAATCGTTTTAAAAGCCTGTGTATATCAAGTGATTTTGATGTATTATGGTGATATTTCAAGCTAACTTTTTATTGCTCGTTGAAATATGATGACATCTTTCTCTGCATGCTTTCAGTCTTTTAAACAGATAGGCTTTTTGTATTCCGCTAAGCCTTCCGAGTAATACACAAGTTCCTAGTTGTGTTACTTTTGCTTTTATCTCAGTGTGAACACTACAATAAATGTAATCATTCGATGTATAAGCATATAATACAGAATTATTAACATTTCACGTTGTTACCTTCTTAGGAGTCTTTCTCATGATGAAGACAAGTAGTTTAAATTCCTTAATAACATTTAAAATTACTGACAATGCTGTAAACGGATTTACTGTTTTTTTTGTTTGTGTTAAACATGTAACTTTGCACTTATTGTTCCTTTTCCACTTAAATCTTTGTAAAGTTTAGTATTTTTAAATTATTATTATTTTCCTTACCATTACATAACGTAATTATCTAAATCGATGCACTATCTGTAGTAGATACAGTCTTGTTTGGTTGAGTGGTTTTTGTCTTGTAGTGATCATGATAACTATAAGGTAAACAAAAATCTGAATCATAGCAAGATTCAGATATTGACGGATCATTGCCTCAACTTTTGTTACAAATATTTGGTTCCCCATCAACCTCATTTATATCGTCCTATAGATTCATCAAAAATTCGCTAATTTTAGAAATAGTGAGTAAAAACAGCGAATTGTTTCAATAAATATGCCATTGTTTGGGTACGTAATTGCCTTCAAAACTACTTTTATATCGATGTATATGTTGATTAATCATGTCTAATCTATACTCATTGCAGTAACTATTTAACACGTGAATGGAATAATAATTGACCATCCATTTTTAGTATAAAGAATACAGATTATTATTGATGCGTTTCTTGTTTCATTCTTGTGGTATAACAATATTTCTAGTATTGTTTGATCTGTAATATCATGTGTAATCGTTCATCATTGAAATGCATCCAGAAGTGAAACTTCTGTGTTAATCTAAATAATTTTTATTTGATTTATCGTTATTGTTTTCAGAGGATTTCAACTGTGTCTTGTCTGGATGCACATATTTTGTTACAGCGGTTTAGATATTTACATAGGTTTAACACTTTTAGTTGTATACGTGTTAATCGGTCTATCTATCCATATCTATTTGTTTTTGCTTACTTTTAGGCCGAGTTGGAACAGCTGTTGCATTACGAGCCCAAGCTTTTGGATTTCATGTAACATTTTACGATCCTTATCTTCCAGATGGGATCGAACGATCATTGGGTATCGAACGTGTTTACAGTCTTCAAGATCTACTATTTCAAAGTGATTGTGTCACTTTGCATTGCTCACTTAATGAGCAAAATCGCCATATGATCAATGAGCATACAATAAAGTTAATGAGACCGGGTAAGATATTCACAATATAGATGTTGAAATGATGTGTATGTATATTTTTCAGCTCAGTTGAATAATTTTTGTGTTTTAAATTTCTCTGCGCTAGATAGTTTTATTTCGAACCTTTCATTGATATAAGTTGATGTAGACAACGACGGGCATAAATCCAACTGGGAATACATCAGAATTATGAATCGAAAGCATTCCAGTAATGTCAAGGAATTTCTGGAATCATGACGTTCAGATCAATTAGCACTTTAACGGGCACGTCGAATTAGACCTAATTTGTCAACCCATTCGAAGAATGTCAATTGACATGGTCAAAGATCGACAGAAAAAATAGTCGATTTGAATGCAGGGACAAATGAAAATATTGAAAACAGCCTATGACAATAACCAGTCACAAACAAGGGCAACGGAACGAACTGATTTATAACTTTGGGTTAAGTATAAAACTCATTTCTACATGAATTATGAGCTAATGATGTGGTTTTGAGTGACAATGGAAGTATCGCAATTAAACTGTCCAGCTCAGCGAACCCATCGATATCGATATTATGAATATATATATATATATATATATATATATATATATATATATATATATATATAGTATATCAACAATTCATTTAAAAAAATTATTATAGTAAATAAGATCAAAATTCAACGATTGGATGCTGGATGATGGAGTGAAAGATTTCGTTCAGGCAACTACAACCATTGAATGTAGATGTATTCTAAAAAGTTAAATATATAGTGCAAATAAATTATTTTTTGTAGCATATCGTGATTTAATCCTGATTTACAGGATTTAAAAAAAATTACTAAATGAAATTAAACTAAATGCAATAAATTTTAAATAAATCCTATTAAATCAACTCTATCTTTCAATAGTATATATATATATATATATATATATATATATATTTAAATGAAGAGTGCCGCAGTACATTGTAACTGGCTAAGTCGATATGTGCTCAAATATGTAGATGAATGTATGATTTTTAAAATGGAAGTATCAATTATCATTTATATTAGAGATAACGTAATATGGTATTACTTTTCATAATTAATAATCTCTGCGTATTCTTTTCAAATATTTGGCTTCATTCAGAAAATAGGTTTCATATTTTTTACCGTCATAATATGAACAATCATTTCTTGATTGTTGTTTTGCTTTTAAAGTGATTTATTTGTAAACCCAGATGAAAGATAAATAACTAATTTTGTTGATTGTGATAACATATTAGTCAGTTTACATTTGAAAACAGACTTCTATAATTTTGCATCATAACAAACTATACTGAAGTCACCTTCCTTGTATCGATACACTCAACTCCTATAGAACAAGTTGCACTGGGAAATGTTTTAGGAATGTACTTTTCCTTGCTCGCGAACACTTTCCAGAGTGTCCAAGCTAACTAATAGTTAAAACAATCAATAGTTCTATCCTAGCTTATTTAGTTCAAACGGGGTTACACAGCCAGCGTGAGCCAATCATTTACAATCAGTCATTTACTACTATTATTGCTACCACTACCGTGGCGCGTGCTACTTATATTGATGTAAGTAGTATATGACGCGAGTTAAAAACGTAATGTCGGGCAGCAGAAGATGGGGGAATATCAAGAAATGAAGAGTGAAAACACAATGCAATTTGTGAGAAAACGCATGAACAATGAAATGTGAGACAATGGATTGATGTTTGCAACAGGAACATTCCAGGTCGATATGATGGATTGATATTTTGCAAATTAACGATTTACTATATGGTTTTTCTATTTTACCAAGTAACTCTGTAATTATGTGCTAAATACATTCGATTGTCCCTACCCGTGTTCTGTTCACTACATTATAACTACTGGTTGTATTACTACTACTCATCTGGGATTTGTCCTAATAATTTCATCCCACCGTGCTTATATAGTGTGAGGACATTATCCGTTCCATATATTTCTCAGATGCGCTGACTGAATTTCTAAACTATTTACAATTCACTACCAGACTAACAATGCACCGCAATAACTAAATTTTAATTATCAGTCTGAATTTGATGATAGAAAAAGAAAAGGTGATAAAAAGGCAATTACTTTCTAAACTCGTTAATATTATACCTATCAGTCGAGCAATTGCCTAAACCTTGTTCCTTTTTTAGGTGCATTTTTAATCAATACTGCTCGAGGTGGTTTAATTGATGAAGTAGCCCTTGCTGCTGCACTTAAGGAAGGTCGAATACGTGCTGCAGCATTGGATGTAACAGAGACAGAACCATTTGTTTGGAGTAATAGTAAGTTTTTTGCTATATAATTTGATATAATACATGTATTGTTGAGACTTCTGCAGTTAAATTAATGTCGAAAATCATGACTGATCCAATGCTTTATATCAGTGATAGGTTTTTGGGAATTGTGTTGTTCTATTATGTCATAATAAACCGGTTGTATATGTTGTTGGATTATTGGGAGTAATCGGCACGAAGCTATGAACTATGAGCTATTTAGTTCATTTTACGTAGTACAGATACGTGTAACCGGCTTTGAGCCGTGCTTAAAGTTCGAGAGATTGTGATGCTACTCGGCTGTTTAAATCAAAGTGAACGAACCGAAGTTCAAACCTCCATCTTAGTGATTGAAAGTCGAATACCCTACTCACTGAGACACTTCTTCACTTCACATTTCAACAAGGAATACCTATTCTGTCTCTTATGTGGATGTAAATCATCCAGTGAAGTCTGAAATATTGCTGTTAGACTGTCCGAATAACGACCTACCTCCGAATTGCCAATTTTATTCCTGAAATGTTTATTACGATAGGGACTATCTTGAATCAAAACTAGACTATTTGATGTATACGAATAAACAATAGTATTATATGTGTCTAACAGAATAAAACTGTTTCTTGCGAATTGGACTGGAAAAGGTCGTAAACATACGTGAATGTAATGTACTAGAATCTAAGAATAAAGTGTGTAATTGTGTTCGATCTAAATTTCTGTCAACTTTGAAAATTCATTCTACTTCAAACTGAAGTAAATTTTGAGTTCATTTTATGTAAATATTTTATTATTACAGGTGCTTTAAAAGATGCTCCAAATCTTATTGTAACACCTCATATGGCATTTTACAGTGAATCAAGTATGCGTGAAATGCGCGAGGCAGCTGCAAATGAAATCCGAAGAGCTATTTTAAATCGCATACCAGACTGTCTTCGAAACTGCGTCAACAAAGAATTTATGCCCAATGGTGGTTCGTCATTATTTTCTCACGGTTGTTCCAACAATAGTCTATCCAATAATATCAATAATAATCCCCTGGTTAATAACAATCATCTGTCTCTTGGAGCAGGTATACCTGGTGTTAATGCCCTCAATAGTAGTGTAGCTTCAGGATTAGAAAACGCCGCACGTGGTTTGCATCCAGCAGCTGCAGCTGCCGCGTTCGGTCTCTCAGCAGGTCTTTTCTCTTCTGCCGCGGGTGGAGGTTGTGGTCTTGGGGTTGGTGCTAACAGTCTCCCCTTCCCTGCTAACCTAATTGGTGGATCAGGGATAGGTCTGTCAAATGCCGGTGGTGGAGGTATTCTCACCAACAGTGGTGGTCCAACAACAATCCCAGCCCTTCCTCCTCCTCCTGCCGTTGCCGCGGCCGCCGCAGCCCATCTAGCTGGCCTTCCTCCTGTCTCAGCGTACGCCAACTTCTTTCCTCCCGGATTAGCCGCTGGTTTAGGCCTTCCTCTCCCTCCTCCGCACGCTGCATCTTTGGCTGGCGTAACCGGATCCTTAGGAGGTACAACGACTGGGTCTTCAACGAGTGCAACCTCAGGCAATTGTACTAATAATTCTACTTCAGGCTCAGGAGGCCAGACAGTCAGTTCCCCCTCACCTGCAACCAGCGGTTGTATCCCTGGTGTATCCAGCAGTACTTTCGATAGCGTACATGCCAGGCTCGCTGCCGCCGCCAGTCTTGTTGCTTCGGGTCTAAATCCGAGGTAAGTATTACCGTTGCATTAATTTCGCTTTTCATTTGTAAATAGTGTACAACTTAAAATAAAAATTTCAGCACTGAGAAAGGTACTTTCAGCTTCTTGCACTTGATGTAGTTGACTAATTTTTATTGATCAACGGCAGAGGTTACTTACTCACTTAAGACTGACTCACTGCCCTTTTATGTAGCAGTATGTGTGTTCTTGTATGGTGCATATGTTTTTTACTTTTACATGAGTATAGTTAACATAATAACGTGGGGATTAATTTTGCTCGTAAAAAAGTTTGGAGTTCATATTGGTTAGCTATATGACAGAACAGACAGATACGTGAAAGTTTTTAGGATTTTAAAATTAGTTAACTTCACTATAATTGCAGCTCTGATATTGATATACATAACAGATTAGGCTTTTTGATTCAGTTATTGCGAATTAATCCATGATACTAGCTTGGATTTTATCGTAAATATGAAAGTTGATTGCCGAAATCTTGTTACATGCATGCGGTATTTGCTCGACAAACAAGTTATTTAAGCTGTATGACAAATTTTGTTTTTATTGTGTTTTTTCTTCATGAGTTTATTTTTGAAAGTTAGGTATATCTAAGCACATTTCTCTGGTTTACTCTCAAATAGATCAGAAATTAATAATTCTGATCTGTTTAATCGTCTTCAAATTTCGTAACAGTAAACTGATAATAGCACCTTTAAAGTAATTACTATCTATAATGAAATGTACGAGTTCATTATCTGTCGAATGTCGATTTAATGAAATAAATATTAAGCTCTTTTTTTCATGAACATGATCAATATAATTTGCAGTTTTTTTCTTTAAAGTGATGTTAATTATTTATAAAAAAGAACATTGCTATTTAACATGTAAATATAGTTGACTTTGTTATTCCTTTCTGTTTAACTATTTTCTCTTCCAGATCTTCATGATACTACACTTTTCTTATCAAAATTAATCAAAAGGTGTAAAGTGAACAAACTATATAAATGTTTTGCTAACTTTGAACTATAAGGGGATTTGTTAATCCTATCTACCTACCATGCGTATGTGTATCGCATGTGTACTTCATGCATTAATAAAATGTTGTGTTATGATTTATTTTTTTAAATTAAAAATTTATACATCTCAGTGTGTTGGAGTTCATTCATTTGTTTAATCAAGAATAGTTGGTGAGAAGCATTTGTTGGGGGTCAGGTGGGTAGAGGAGTATCTTTTCGACTTACTGCAGTTACTGCCTAATTGAGCCGTGCCAGTTTCAAAAATCTTATGGATAGAGATGTTAGTCATAATGCTGACCGTAAACATATATATGAAGATTTTAATTAAAAAAAAGGAAAATAGATAGTTGTCCAGTATTCTGAACTTTAGAACCAGTCGTTGTAAATTGAGTGAAGAGTCTAACGATTGATGTTCGCAATTTTGTTCGGAACTTCTATTATTTCACGTATGTACCGAAATCGGTAAACTAGTTTCATTGTTTATTGGACAGAATTGTTAAGCTCTTTATTAGACAAAGTAAACTATGCTGTGGATTTTATGATTAGCTTTGTTAATGAAGTCGTTCTGTGGGGCCAAAAGTATCTGATTTTACCGCCAATAGGTAATATATTCAGCTCTCATATTTACCAATGAAACTGTAGTTAATAAGTTAGTTTGAAAGCACCGAGATTTTTCGAAAAGTATTTTAGGTCGTTCATAAAAGTCACACCTGTAAGTGATTGGGACTAATTGATCACAATTAATTTTCCACTTGTCAGGATTCATGAAGTTGAGACACGAAGACAGTTAACTGTAGAGAATTATACTTGACAACTCATACTGTTCGGGGGGATTGTATTGCTGTTAAATAGATTTCCTTAAGTGATTAGTGCAGCGAACACCAGTGTGAAGAACGTTTGGAATACTGTTTTTTTCAGATATGTATCAGCAGTTTCATGAGGACATCTCAAGTACAGTATGAGGTTATTCAGATGAAACTGATCTTTTGGACAATTTACTCAGACTGATTAATAAGGAAAAATCACTGAAATTTGTAATCATTTGTTTTATTTTGTAATTTAAGTGTTACTGATGAACATACACAACCCTAGGTTTACGGTGGGTTCATGAGTTAATATAGATTTTTAGTTATTTTCCAGAAGTAAAGAGGTTATGGATTGTGTGTGAAAGATGTAAGGGGATAGTTTACCTGGTGATAGATTCCGTAATTCTTCAAGCCTACATGCCAAAAGTACGAGACAATAAGGTGACGATATACTACACGTTCTAAGTGTATCGCAGTCAGTAAGTGCGGTTATATTTTGGTTTATTTGGTCAAACAGTTGTACATATATAGGAATAATTTCTATCACCAAAGTAATTGGGAGTATTTCTTTAGCAAAGTTGTATTTACTACATCTTATGCATTATTAAGTACTACGACTACATGGCGTTCACACACCTCGAGGACTACACAGGTTTAAGCCTTCTTGGGGAGCATGCGCATGTGGCAGCCTACGAAATTTCAACACACCTATGTATGGCCTTCTGGTTGCCCGGATGATGTGATCGTGAAGCGAAACAAGCAGATGCGAAAAATATTTGCCGTCTTTAAGACTAGTTTTGTCTCTACATTATGGAGCCGTATTAACCACTAATTTTCTCCCGTGAAAGTTGTTTGGATAATGGCAGTCCTTGATCCAAAGTATCAGTGTTGGGGGTGGGCAAACGATATATTCCTGAGTTTACGTAGCGCATCATCTCCTTTGGAGATTGGTCGGACTGCAGTCGCTTTCCTACCAAATTGCTTTGCAATGCTTTATACCACCAACACTGCTGACCCACATTTTGTGGTCAGTGTAAAAATCAGAAGTCAACTACGAAATTATGAAGTATGGGATGGGGTTGCAGAGCCAGTGAAATAACAATGAGCCCTAGCCAAACCATACAGCAGTCGGGTCACTGAATATCAGGCAGTTAATAAAACCCCGTCAAGCTCAAGGGCAAATAAGGCTCATCAGTTAATCGTATGCCAAGGACTGACCCATGGGGTGGTGGTCCTTTAAGTTGTTTAGTTAAGAGTCGACCTCAAACAACTAAGTATCTGTCAACACAATAGAGTTCAATTATTCATCCACTTCCTTATTTTGTATAGACATTATATTCTCTATGATCTTTTATTGAATGTTGAAGAGTTTTGTGTGTTTGAACAGGTAATTCCCGGCTCCACTGTGACTGCCACGCGATTTAAATAAGGACCTATTAACTACTAGTCTGGTTTCTTCTATCAGTAGAACAAGGGTTACATATAAGCACGAAATTCTCACTATCTTCTCTGTGCTCATTCTTACTAATATGTTTCCGTAATAACGTCCTCTGTCTTATACGCTCTCCATAGCGCCCCGTAGCATTTTGGTATGTCGAAGGGATAATCCATGTTAGGTGCTGAGCGCGAGGTGTGGTATCAAAGTTAGCTGGCTCGTCACACTATTCCTGTCTAACTGGAGTAGGCCTCCAATCATTTGACATAGATCATCTACGTTAGTGGTGTACATGTGTATCAAGTTACGATGTATTATTATTCGTCATATTTGAGTATACTAAAAGAACTGTGCATAATTTTTTCGACCATTTTAATAGTTTGTGGCGATTCTGTCTCATCAATCACTGAATTTCTCCTAAATTTTTTATCAGTTGTATATGTTTAGCTTGTTTGTACGGATTGTGAATGATTAAGAATACTCCGTATATTTCTTTAAATTGCTGAAATTTCTAGAGGCTGATTCAATTTTAGTTGCCCAATACGTTGGGTTGATTAAAACTCAACATTGTCACGCTAACCTAATGTATAGCTTGAAATACAGTCTGTGAATATCCGACGTGTTTCGTTTTATATTATTATGCTTGATTATTTCTTATATTTCTTGATAAGTCCTGAGAAATAATTGTGAATCAGTGGCTTGAATATTTTATCATACAAATTCAGATAATACAAGCAATCGTTCCTTATAAAGTCTCGCCTTTCACATGGATTTGTGTGGTGTTTGTATGAACTAATGATTCTTCGATACTCGATGTGTGCATGATTTGGAATTCTGAATACAATATATTCGTTTGTGCTTGCCTAGTTCATTATGACTTAAACTTCACTGTTTCTAGGATTCCGAGTTCGTATAATAATTAGAATGCTTCTAATTATCACAGGTTGTCTATGTTGTGATCTTTTTCGTAGATATTCCAATACGAAGTTAACTGAATATTTATAGTCGACAAAAATAATTATGGTTATTTTCACCGCGAAGCTAAATCACGTTTTCTATTTTACACATTGAAGTGTATTTTTAAGACATTAATTATGAAATTGTCACGTATGCTGAGAATTTGGGAAACTGAAGTTTATTGAGCTCGATTCGTCTTACAATGTATTTTCGTATGTTGTTAAGTATGTGTAGCGGTAAATAAATCTTCAAAATAAATGGCTTCGTAATTATTTTACATTGACCTTGATATCATTAGAGTGAGTAGATCCAACTTGATCTGAAAGTGCTCAGTCAAGCACCACCACAGATCATTTGGTTATGCTCTGCTTAGCATACGTTATAACAACTAGTAAGATTGGTTTTCATACTACTCGACACACCAACTGTTATCCATATATATCTTCGCATCTCATCATTTCAGGATCCTTTCACCAAAGGAATTTACGGGCAGTAGCTTTTACGTATATCGCGTATAAATGACGTCTTTATCCTGATAATGCACGATTACTAGTTCCCCTGAATAATGCTTTAGTCGCTTACCATGTGCTGAACTTCGCAACAATAGATTATTCACGGTCTAAGACAACGATAAAGCCTTGAAACAGATGTAAATACTACATTTACTTAAAAATCAATCTGCCGTGGAATCTTAGTGATATCAACGTTTAGTGAGGTTAATGTTTGGTTTGCCGATGAAAAAAAGGCTTGTGAAATAAATGGAGATTTCTAAGGAACTGTTACGTTTAGTGATGTTGCTGATATGACAAGAATGGCAGCCGTACCAGTTTGGCTTCATAGTAGACAGAAGTACCAATAGTCTTCTGCGCAGATTTGGAAAGAGTATTCAGACATTTTACAACAAGCAACATCAATGAATGAATCACGGAGAGGTCCATCAACTTTACCTTTAACTGTCCACGTTTTTTTAGGGAGAAAAACTCCAGGATGAAAATAGCTCGTAGCTGTAAATAAATCCCCAAAATCAAAAGCTCTGCAAGTCTTCGACATTGGATGCTGACCGCATTAGTTTTAATGAACTCACCTAGCTGAAGGCGCTCGGTCATGCATCCGCACCAGATCACGAGTGGGTACTCCATGTTCAACTTCTCCTGCAACCGCTAGCCAGTTAAGATCAGTCACTTCTCGATATATTGATAGCCTATCAAATACATCTTCGAACCTCCTGGCTTCTGACTTTTGATTTCACTGTGTGGGTATGATTCAATATAGAAGGTGTATCTGGTTAACGTGCTGCGAAACTACAAATACCTGTGGCATATTCAAGCTAGTTTGTTAATAATCGTGTTTTATATATTTTATTGGAAACTTGACATGAACTTACGTCCTTAGTGGCGCAACATTTCCTTTCCATCAGAGTAATATCTGATTTGTGTACACATCCTTGGAATTGAATCCATACCTTTTTAGTGGTGAATACAACATATCTCTTTTCTCCCGAAAATTGTCCAGAAACCTTACCATTAAAATATTTTGAGCTAAGAAATAAAACTGAGCTCCGGATCACAACGACGGACGGAAATTCTTCACTGACCGAACACACTGTTGTAGCCTACTGAGGACATATCATATAACTATCGCCGAGTACCTAAAGTCCTTTGAGTCAATTTTATGAAGAAATCTTTTGTTCCAACAGACTCATAAATAATCAGCACGCTTTACTGGATCTTCTAATACTTGAAAACCACTTTTACCAGTTCGTACACAGAATTCAAAACAGTCCTCTATTTTTATTTTTTAGAATTAAAAATTTTTCAGGTTCGTTGAGATTCACTTTATTCCGGCTCCGAAACAACCTGGAGAACAGGATGCTTCATGCCAAGGTAAGTAGACTGCAAACGAGTTGGAAGATCTCAAAATCAGAATTATCGCGATAGACAATCCTAGATCTACCTCTGTTTTGGATCTTTGTTAACAACCTGTGAGATAAAATTAACTCGGAGGTACTGATTTATGCAGATGACGCGATGATCTAGAGGTTCATGAAAAGTGATAAGAGATTCACTTGGGCTTCAAACGGCCCTTATAACAATATAGGGTTGAGCAATAAACAATGGGTTACAACTTAAACTGTCGAAATGTCATATATTGAACATTCTGCCTCATTTAGCACAAAAAGCCTACACCCCTCATAAAAATTTGCTTCAAAATACCACCTATGTGTGTGATCTCGGGCTGGTAATCACAGATAGGCTGGACGGCAGCTCAAACAACAAGGGGAAATTCGTTAGAGTAAACACGAATCTTCAATTTATGCGAAGTTACCTTTGGGCGATCATCACAGAGTTATTCCTAACACTGTTTAAAACGTATGCACAGCCTCACCTTGAATTCCACAATATCGTTGTGTCCACTTTTTTTTGAAGAGACCTAAATTTGAACAAGTACAGGGACGGATAACCAATTGGGTGATAGGTCCTAAACATAAATCTTACAACAACAAGCGCCAAACACTGATATTATTCTCATTGAACTACAGGAGGATACGAGGTGATCTGATAATGGCATAAAATATGTTAAGAACGACAAGCCACCTAGCGCGAGCATATAACCAGATTATCATAACCATGCTCCTTGAGGAAACTTTCAGAAGATTGCACGTCAAAGAGCGAACACCTAAGTACCCTTTCACCATTTCTCATCAATAGTGACCTCAATTTGATATTCTATTCCAGCCAAATTGACCACAGTCCACTTCAATGGATCACTTTAAGAGGGGGCTGGACAAAGGTGTACTTGCTCACAGCTGCTGTCATACAGGATCAGTCTGGCCTGTCAAACAACAATACATAAAAGTCCACAAATAAATAACTCACTGATTAGAATTAGTGCAGTCGAGTGGATAGACTGCCACATATTGGACACCATCAAATACTTGAATTCGTACCGAAACAACAAGAAACGAGCTCAATGTAATCAAATACAAACTGATGACGAAGATATTAAAAACCAACCGTAATCAGATCTATAGATTCCGTAAGTAAATATTTTTTGCAGTCAGGAACTATTATTTAGTTTCAAGACTTAAGAGTTAGTAAGTAAATTGATTTACACTCACTCGTCATAGAGGTGTTGGAAGACATTGGATATTCAACAGTAGTGGTTGATTTGAGCTTAGTCGAATGACGGAGTTCTGGATAATATCTGTACCTGGGGAGCGGGATCCAAATCAGGTGTATCAGCGTCTTCAAACCACATTGTCTAAATATAAGGATATCTGCTCGCAGATCAACAAATTCAATATTCCTCCTGACTTCAAGGTATTTGTGTAGATGCCAGATGATTTAGAAGCTTTAGGTGGGAACGCTGGATATTCTAGTGGGTCTTTCTGATGAGCTGTCAAAATTAGATGTGTATGCTGAGAGGTAATTGTCTAATAGGTTCAAATAGCAGCTCAAGTATTACCAAGAAAGTTGCCCAGTACATGGGCGATGTACTCGAAGAACAAAAACACAAGTTGGAAGACAACTTGACGGTAAATGGACGTATGTTCTATTTCTTATTTTTATATCCTCAGTTTCTCCTGCCGCGTTCCTCACCAAATTCCAGTGGGATTATGCTAAATATCCAGTCAAACAAACGTTAAGTTCACTATATGCTATTATATCAGAGGTATTTTTATTTCACGCTAAGTAATATTGTTTATAGCAACTTACTAAAATAGATTCGGATTTAAAAGCAAAGTCTCAGTCATATAATACCTTAAAAGGTTGTCTTCAAAATCTAGAACGAAAGCAGACGTAAGCAGTATATTTTAAAGTACCTTAAATTCTTTTAGGGGTAGTCTCTTAACACGCGAGCTTGGAGATATTGTGAAGCGAGAACAATTTATTGTTGATTCGGAATACCTAACTACTCTAGTTGTTGTTGTTCCAAAGTAAGTTTTTTTTGATACATTTATTATCAGGAATATGTATAATGATTGGAAATCTAATTATGAAAGAATGACAGATATGATCGTTCCTAAATCGTCTGAGTAATTCGCAATCCTTTTTTGTAACCGATTAAGACTTATTTTTGAAGATCAAGATAATGGCCTGTGGACTGTTACGCTCTTCAAAAAAATGACGGATGATTTTAAAACTCAGGCTCGTGAATTTAGGTTTGTTTAAATATTCAAAACCAATTGTTAGGTTTGTTGTACGTGATTTTACTTATGATGAGAAGAAAATTGAGGAAAGTAGGAATGAGCTGTCGAAACTTGAGTCCGATAAGAAAAGACAGTTTGTAAGTCGGTTTATTTTTGTTATTAATACCGCCTTATGGAATTTTTGTCACATAAATATTTTTTTGGTTGAGATCATGAATTAATTGGTGTTAGACCACCGTTGAAAACCTGGAAGCACTAGACGGCCGTTTCGTCCTAGTATGGGACTCCTCAGCAGTGCGCATCCATGATCCCGCACCCGCATAAATATTTCCTTCCTAAAGTCAGTAAACTGTTCGGTTTTAAATGTATTGAGCCATATGCATTTCTTTAAACGTCATCCTACCAACACTTCTTGGAACATAATCCCAAATATTGAAGACAGATAATCACGCTTCTCGTTATGTCTTTAGTAGTCGTTTCAGTCAGTCACTCAGTCGTTTACAGGCGGTTGACAAGAAACTGTTTCCATTTTGTTCTTTCCAGTCACAAGTGATGTGTGTCTGTTGGTCAGAATATGACTTAATGAAGGAAAGCCAAATGATTGAAACAAACATCTCGTTTTTCTACCAATTAAAAGGCAGTAACGAGAACCACGATTGTACTTAGTTGAAGATCACTGGGATGGATAACAAAAGAAGTTACTTTCAAAATAAGGTTGTTTTCCCTGGTTCGTAAGATAGCATTTGCAAATTGTTGCATATAGCTAAGTTGTACGTTGATTGTCTACAGTATGATACTTTTTCCAATCATCTTGATTTCAGTGCATAACTTTTTTAAATTCCTAACTAGGCACCCCTGTTTCGTTGGTTGAAAGTTAATTTTGGTGAGGCTTTTTCTGCTATGGTTCATATTAAAGCCCTCCGGGTATTTGTTGAGTCAGTTTTAAGGTAAGAAGTTTTATTTTTGTCAACTTACCTACTACCTGTTTAATTTGTAGTTATTTTATGTCACCTTATAATCGTTTAAAATGCATATGGAACCTTGTTAATCGTTTTATTTCAATCTGAAAGGTTAAGTGATGGAAAGTACTTCCATGGTTGTCTTGTGGCATAGGAAGCAGTTGAAGGGAGCTAAAAGTCATTATACTGATAATAAACATTATTGGGGTAAATACGTGGTACTAAAAATGATAGTGATTAGATAAATTTACTCTGATCAAGGCTTCCAACTGTCGTATGATATTTTTCTGTGGATGATCTAAGGATCCAGGTTCGTTTAAGTATATGGTATCTCAAAATACATACGTTGCAAAGACATTTCCTTACCATCAACTCGAGACTAATTTCCAGTTGTAAACAAAATTGAAAAATTAAGTCTAACGTGAGTAACAAATGTAACCGTATCTAGGAGATCGGAATCTGGCAGAATCTATACTGAGTATTTGTCAGTGGTGCATACCATACTAGTTGAAATAATGTTCAGAACTAAAATAATAGATTTACGGTATCCTTTATGCTAATGGTTTTATGGACTTTTCGCGGATAGTCGTCAAGTCTGGTGGAGAAATATTCACGATCATGCTAAGAAGTTGCTTTATTGTGGCTCAGATACCCCCAGTTGATATAGGTAGCAAACATGTGGAGTGCTTACGGTTCATGTTTTGAATAAAATATTTTGATTGTGGTCAAGTCACTTGTAATTATAGTAAAATAAATCTGAAACAGTTTAGACAATATAAGCATTTATTTGTAGTAGTCACGATTTAGAGTTTCAAAATAGAGGTGATACCATAACCATGTAAAGGCTTTTGCAATAACGAGCTACTCATGAGGGAGCTTATAGTGCGAAATGAACGTCATTAAGTGGAATGGAATTCACACCAAGTTTACAATCCTTGTGATATCACTGTTGTGGACTATTACGAGAAGCAAGTAAGGTATCTTACTGTCCAGCGAAAATACCTGTCATTATATTTCCCAAAGCTGAACTGCAATCCTGATTTTACAAGTGAATGAAACAACAATATTGAATAAGGATATCTATTTTTAAGATCTCAACATGTTTGCACAACTAGTAAATGTACTTTCAAAGGTGAACACCTAACCAAAGTATTTTTAAATGTGACATTTCTGTTGCTTTGTATCTGGATGTACATATAAGTGGTAATCCTGCTGCATTGAATTTGTTCTGTTACATCATATGCTAATTCTGAAGTAATTTTCCGTCTTGTTGTAGATATGGATTGCCGGTTGACTTTCAAGCGATACTCCTTGAGCCAAACAAAAAGCAGCAAAAGAAATTAAGAGATATACTAAAACAACTTTACAACCATCTGGATGGATCGTCTTCAAGCTCCGTCTTAGATGTAAGCATTAACATCTATTCGTATATTTATTACTGTGGCACATAACAGGATTGTTCGTAATTGCATAAAAACTTGTGCTTAATTGATATGTTTGCATTTATAAGTGTAGTATTGGGGTGGGAGATATAAAACACTGTTCCTGTGTCTGTACAATATGTGTTCCGGTGTTATCGATAATGAGTTTCTTCTATACAGGTTAACTGTTACACACAAAATAAGTGCTTGTTGCACATTTGAAAGTAAATTTTCGCGTTAGATTTTCAGTCGTAAATGACCTTTTCTCAAGTAGTTGTATTTAAATAAAAGATTATTAATGAGTTTGTATGTATCATATCAAGGTTGGACTTGAGTTTCAAATAAATTGAGCACTGGGTAGAGTTAATAATAAATACTTTTTTTATATCCTAATCAGTAGAAAATTTTTATATATATTTCTGATATAAGAAGTGGATTACATCATCGCAAAACGTCAGAAATACAATTTTTCTACTTGTTGGGATATAACGAAAATATATATTTATTATTTTAAATAAAAGGTTCTAGAATAGGACCAAAAAGTCTGTTATCTCAATACCCCAAGGTTTATAGGTAAGGCTATTGGATACGTCTTCACAAAGACTTTTAAACTGAAATCTAATAAATGTGAATCTTAACAAGTACGGATCTGAAGTATTCCAATCGTATATTTTTCCAGACGAAATGAGGGGTGTGGTTGGTTTCGCTTGAGATATAGACACTGGTTAGCCTATATTTCAGGAATGCCCTGGTACAGCCGAGGGTGGGAAGAGTCATCACTTCTTCTCGAAATGCTCTCACATGGCCACGCGTATACAGCCACTGCAAGGGAAGTCCTACTCACTGCCTTCTCGTGGCAGGAGTGTTGTTTACGAAAATGAGAGGACGAAAAGCGAATGTCCGGCGCTTTAACCGGGCCGGCGAATTCACCTAGGGGAGTTGGAAAACCCTGATTTAAAACCAGTGGTGCACATGCGCTCTAGTATCCTGAGGGAACAAATGGAATATGAATCAATCGTTGGTTACCGGCTACCACGGGACTGCATCTCCTCACGATGCCCCACTGCCTTGTGGATCAGACCTTTAGGTCAAAGGCTCGGGGTGTGGCCCCTTAAGAAAACCATCTGGGCGCCCAGGTAGTACCACAGCCCTCACACAAATCAAACAAGATTTATGTGGCGCATATGTATAATAATAATGATATTTCAGGAATGCACAATGTAGTTTTGGTAGTAGAATGGATTTCAAAAAAATTCTAATGATGTTTACTGAAGTCTATATCTTCAACAGAAAATCTGTTATGGCATAGCAAATTAAAGTTTTCCGCGAAATACGTACAGAGGATCTGTTTTGAGTACAATAACCTACGTCATTTCCCCTCCGCAAAAGTAGCTATTTGTTTAAAGATAAACGTGTTTACTGTGACAATTATTTTGTTCGTAATTTCATTTGTTTACATTAATTTTGCTAAAACGTTAATTTCAATACACACTTCCCTTTTGTTGAACTTTACTCGTCTCTGCGAATATCTCTTTACAGGAAGATATGAATGTTGGGAGTTTCGGGGCTTCATCGGACTATTTTCCTTATGTTTCATTTAAAGTCGAGCTAAATATGATAGATGTGCGTTAATGGTCAGGGATAAACTAGTTCTGCAGCTCATTCCATTGTATTGATGTGATAATGCAATCAATAAAATGAAAAAAAGCATAATATACTTTAGAATTTTCTCTTTTTAGCATTTCTCTTTTTCTCTATCCTTGTTAGTTGATATTTTCACAAACACTTGATTTACTTGGCCGGCATATATATATATATATATATATATATACCTTATAATCTGTCTTAATACATTGGAATAAAAATCATTTTATTTTCAAAATACCTTAATTATTGTTCTATTTAAATACAATGTATTGAAGCAGCAAGTGTATTTTGCTTCCAAGTTATCTTATGTAAAAGAATGCAAAATAGAAAATAGATAGTAGCATTGTGCATAATTTAATTATAAATACTCGTGTATGTATAATACAGAATTATATACTGTGTGTAAAATAATTTAAATCAAGGATCTAATTAATGTTCTAAATTTTTTCCGTCTGAATATGATCTATGGTTATTCGTTTTCCTTGTCTGACGATAGTGATTGTCAGTTGTTCTCGGCTTTCAGTTGCAGTGTAAACTTGTTGAGCATTCGTTATAGGTAGACCATCAATGGCAACAATTACATCTCCAGCTCTTAGTCCTGCCCTGTAAAATAAATGTATAAAATTTATGCTGAATCTCAATTACTAGAGATTAATATTACAAAGTTAATTAGTGGAAGAAAATCGCTGTCGAAAGCCAATTAACTGTGCAAGGTTTCTGTTTTTTCTTTATTGCTTTTAATATACCTCACGTTCTAGAATCATTATACCGACCATTGTTTGTTTCTCTCCTCCCGAATGGAAAATGTCACTTTAGGATTGGTTTGCGTCTGATTAACGATAGGAAAGAAGTAGTAGAGCGCGCAAACTGCTCAATTCATTTATCGACGTCCGCTTATGGTTGTATTCTTTGACCTAAGAGCAACGTTTAGATCCGTTAATCGTGAGGTTCTCTGGAAGTGTTTGTCATTGAAAGGCATACGTAAGAATTACTGTACATGCTCACTACTACTCGGACGCTACTGGTCGAGTCAGAGCTTATGGCGAACTGTCATCGAATTCGGTTACTTCAAGTGGTGTTTGTAACCTTGTCGTAAACTTGCTTTTAGAGATAACGCTTTCATCGTCCGACTTTTTAGGGATTGATGTTCGACTAGGAGGTTTACTTGTTGACTTAAAAAATGCAGATAATGTAGTACTGTTCGATGAAGACACTAACAAAATACAGTCTTCCGAACACCTCAAGCAACAATGCAATTATGTAAAGTGTCGCTTTAGAATTGGGTTGCGTGACCGCTCGAATTAACGATAGGGAGTGAAGTATTTGAACTCACTGACCACTTCACTCATCTTGGGATTCTCGTCAGTCCTGGTGGTCTAGTGTGTGACGAGATCTCGACATGGGTTCAGAAGGCTCGTTCGGTTTGGTCGACGTGCGTCACTGGTGTAGGTGAGATATCGGTTTATCGAACAAAGGACGAGTTTACTGTGCACCAGTTCACTCTGTTGTACTTCATGGGTATGAAACATGTCCATTAAGGGTGGAGGGTATTGGTATTCGATCATAGGTGTCCTCGAAGTAGTAACCGTGTATTTTGGGACCACGGAGTAAGCAGTAGCCGGGTTAGAAATATGGCACTAGGTAAGGATGGCAAGTCGACTGACGAGGTTGTAAAGTTTCAAGGTAAATTCCTCGAGGTGTCTTGTGCTTTCATTTCACCACACATTTTTTGAAGCATATCTTCGTTGCGTAATCTTCACCATTACCACTCAGACTGTTACCGTCTCTACTATTCTGGGATTTGACCGGACAACTTCCTCTCTTTATGCTAATGGGGTATAACGATTTGGATCGATGTACAAACGTGCCGGGTCCTGCGTTGTGGCTGACTAACTGGTCAAATCTTGTAATACAATGGGAATGGAGCTTCTTAATCATGGTGGAGTTGCTGCATTGTGTAAAGTATTAATATGTGTGATATTTGAGCTAGTAAATTCCACCCACAAATATGCATAAACGACGTTCAACAAATAAGTGTATATTGTGAAATAAGTGTATTAAACTGGTTCGTCGATATAAACACTTGTTGAATAGGGATCTGCTATTTAAAATAGAGTTAGAATCAACTGGTAGATAATTTCCGGATGTGATTGTTTTTCTCGGAGTTCTTTTTTGTAAACAAATAATAGTTTGAAGCTCTGTTGAAATAGTAAATTTATGTAGAGTAATTCTTCTTCAAAGACATTAGGAAATAATGCCGATTATAGTGAAATCGTTGATACTACTTTAGGTGAGATCTGTTTTTTGATTAGAAAATTATTATAAGTCAGTATGATTATCGGTTAATTTGTGTAGTAAACTAGACGAGTATATCGTGAGTTTATAACAATGTAGATGGGAGGCTGAAATTGTACCTGCGAAATTAGTTAAGAACAAGCTTTTTAAAGATAATTTAAACATCCTTTAAATGTGTTTATAATTTTTTAAAGCTATTTATCAGAGTTAATAAAGGAATATATATAAAATTATCACTTTGAGCTTTTAAAGAGTTTTGTAACATTGATTAAGAACTATATCTTAAGTGTTACTACTCCACTGAACGGTGATTTAAAGGTCAACAGTAACCACTCCATCTATCTAATGAGATTTGTAAGTGGCAAAAAGAAGCCCACATTGAATTGTATTTAAAACTCGCTAAAACCTACATAGAAGCAAAGTTTCTTTATGGAGCTGATTAGTAGCGAAACTTTATGGAGAACCGAACGTCAAATAATTAGATCCCACATATGACAAGTTTTACAGAGAGCATTGTTTCTTGAGTATAAAAATAATGTTTAAAAATTTTAATTCAAAATGCAAATGTCATGATAATCAAAAACTTTTAATCGAACCTTGGTAGTGTTAGCAAATTTATAGTTCTTAATAATAATAGTCATGATAAGAAGATTGTTAATAGTTCTAAGCTATTGACTTGTAAATAAGTGTGACAATAATGGTTTGTAGACATTTTGACAAGATAATTTCTTTTTGATGCAAAATAAGTGGTTTTCTACAATTTATTCAAAGTGATGCGAACTTACTTTTGGGCAGGGGAGTTTCTCAATACAGCATGAATCAGAACACCATTCAACTCTACAAAATGTTGTCCACCCCGAGATGCCAATTCGAAAGCCAGTTCTGGAGTAAGCGTTCGCATAACCAGGCCTAAGTATCGACGTTGAGTTCCGCTTTCGGAATTGGTTGGATTGTCTGCTAAAATATATGGATCAGTAGGCGATGCTGACGATACTGGGGAAGAGGTTCGAGTATCTGAGGATGCTTTTAATGCTAACTGTATGAATTTTCGAACTTGATCAACAGGTATGGCGAATCCCACTCCTGTACCAGCCACCATAGCGTTAACCCCAATAACTTCACCATATAAATTCACCAATGGACCACCGGAATTTCCAAACTCAAAAATGCAAAGAGAAACCGTAATTAACAATTAAACTTCAAGGTCCCGCACGCGGTACTCGAACCTAGGACTTTCGGCCTCGCTTCACCTATAGATCACTAGGCCGGCGACCAAGTGTTAACGTCTAACTTCAATCGATCCATGATCTTGCGCAACCATTCATCCATCGTCTGAGGTGGATAAATATCTCTACCCGATACCGACTGGACTCCATTGGTCACGGTTCGAGTACCCTTGAGGAATCGTGGATGAGCACTGACGAGGAGTCCCATACTAGGACGAAACGCCGTCCAGCGCTTCCAGGTTTTCGATGGTGGTCTAGCTTAGATTGACTCGTGGATTCAACTGCTAAAATACTACAATCCCCACAAATCTCCATACTGATAATTAAACTTTATCAGTATAGGGGCTGTGGAGATTGTTAAGTTTTTGATTGAGATCATGAATCAATTGATGTTACACCACCGTTGGAAACCTGGAAGCACTGGACGGCCGTTTCGTCCTAGTATGGGACTCTTCAGCAATGCGCATCCACGATCCCGCTCCCTGCGAGATTCGAACCCAGGACCTATCGGTCTCGCGCCAGGCGCTTAACCAACTAGACCACTGAGCCGGCATTCAGTAGTGTTAGTGTCTAACATCAACCAATCCACGAAATTGTGCAACCAACTTCCATTGTACTGAGGTAGATACCTGTCTCTACCCGATACGGATTAGCTCCACTGGTCACGGCTTCTCACTAGAACTCCGAGAATTCCCTCACGATAGGTCCTGGGTTCGAATCTCGCAGGGAGCGGGATCGTGGATGCGCATTGCTGAAGAGTCCCATACTAGGACGAAACGGCCTTCCAGGTTTCCAACGGTGGTGTAACATCAATTGATTCATGATGTCAATCAAAAAATTAAACTTTAGTTAGTGTCGGTAATAAAGTTTTTTAAACAGATAGGAAAAAACTGACTAACCTATGTTGGATCCCGGATATTAACACAAAGTGTAAAAGAACTCAAGGGATTTCAATCAGCTGTTATTGTAAAAGCATTTAATCAACGATTCTAACCGTTGTGTAAAACTGAATTTATACACACAGCAATTAGTTGTCAGAAATACTGTATTGTTCAAGTATTTTATTTATTAAGTTAGTTATGAAACGGTCCTGCATAATAATCTTACACTGAAGGTGACTTCTCATCCTATAAGAAATGTATTTCAGTTTGGATGACGAAGCTTTTTTATTTTGAAAACACTATCTTAGCAGCTATCATGAATATAGTGATGTAACTCATTAAGTTCAAGTCCGTGTACTAGGATTTGAACCATAACTTTGAGTATATAAGTTATCTATAATACCCCGTTGCCCAAACTGAACTAGCTAGAACGAGATTTGAGCATGAAAACTATTGGTTGAGAGTCAAACGGCATTGTGAAAAAAAGAACGAGGAAGGAATGATAAAAAATGAAAGCTAGTTTTTGGGAGACTGTTTAGCCTAATTTGTAATCTGTAAATTACTAACATTCAGTTATATGCCTGTTTCATCCCATAAATCATAAGTGTTCGATTAATCTATAAATTATCGTCATATTTCCTTCTGTTCTAAAATTATTTTAATTTAAATATAGTTCTTGTATCCTAGTTTGGTATAACTGTATTTTTCACATTCTTTCGGTATTGTGATTCTGCTATTCATATATTCATTCATGTGTCTTTTGCAGTCAGCTGAATCAAATCTAGAGTTTCTCGCCATAATCATCTTCTTCCTTCGCTTGCCAACAGACCAGCTTGTTAGACAATGACAGGATAATCTTTCCTCTCTGCCCTCAACGCT